GCCCCAGGAACTAACTGGGGACCTCGCCTTGGGCACCTGGAAGCCCCTCTAGGTCCAAGTCTCTTCCCAACCCTAAGATGGCTCCCTTAATTAAGATATGTGCTTCCCTGCTCTCCTATCCAACCTTCCTTTATTCCAATCATCCCGTTGCCCCAAGTTCTCCCGATCCTACCCTTCTCACTTTTCTCTCCCCATCTCCCCTTACCCCCCTCCCACCCCACCCTTAAGATCCCGATTTTTTGCCTGGCAATCTTGTCTACTTCCCATAACCAGGAGGATAGCTATATGTTCTTCTTTGGGTTCACCTTCTTATTTAGCTTTTTTAGGATATCAAATTATAGACTCACTGACCTTTATTTATGGCTAGAAACCAATTATGAGTGAGTACACCCCATGTACATCTTTTTGGGTCTGGGTTACCTCACTCAAGATAGTATTTTCTATTTCCATCCATTTGCATGCAAATTTTGCATATCACCATAGAACCTTCATCTGGCAATGGATGGAGATAGAGACAGAGACCCACACTGGAGCACTGGACTGAGCTCCCAAAGTCCCAATGAGGAGCAGAAGGAGGGAGAACATGAGCAAAAAGTCAGGACCACGAGGGGTGCACCCACCCACGGAGACAGTGTAGCTGATCTATTGGGACCTCACCAAGGCCAGCTGGACTGTGACTGAAAAAGCAGGGGATAAAACCGGACTCTCTGAGCATGGCGAACAATGAAGGCTGATGAGAAGCCAAGGACAATGGCACTGGGTTTTGATCCTACTACATGTTCTGGCTTTATGGGAGCCTAGCCAGGTTGGATGTTCACCTTCCTAGACCAGGATGGAGAGGGGAGGACTTTGGACTTTCCACAGGGCAGGGAACCCTGACTGCTCTTCAGACTTGAGAGGGAGGCGGAGAGGAGTGGGGGAGGGGGAGAGGAGTGGGGGGACGGGGAGAGGAGTGGGGGGAGGGGGGAGGAGTGGGAGGCTGGGAGGAGGCAGAAATTTTTTTTCTCAATAAAAAAAAAGAATATTTACAATCTGATAAACTGAAGATCATTTGACTATGTATCTAGTTCTAGCATGCATTTAGTGTGTAAACTCTTCCCAGCTCTACAAAATGTTTACCAGAAAAACAATCTTCAATAACAATCTATTTATAAATAATAAGTGTCTGAGATGGTAAAAAAAATTAAAGCTATAAAAAGGGGAATTTCCACATTTTAGGAGTGAAATTTTAAAACATTGAATAAAGATCATCAAATATTTTAAAACGCTAAATGTATCAAAGTCAGCATATTTGTGTCTAGTAGACAGTGCTTCACAGGGCATGAGCGTCAACATGATCATGCTGTAAACAGGTATTCGGTTTCTCACCCACATGGAAAGGATCCAGGATCCTCCAGTATTACTGACCATGGGTGTGCCTCTCTTACTTAAGGTCGAGGCTTCCTGTTGTACAGACAGTGGTGACAAAGACCATCTGTCAGGTAGGAAGTAGAAATTGTTCCTCAGGGACATTCCTTGGATGCTATGCTTTACACTTCACCTACTTCCCACTGGCTGCAATTTGCACAGCTTCCTGTGTCTGCAGAAGAAACTACTAGATACATTCTTTTTTCAAGGTAGTTCTCTACCCCTTTAACACTGAAAGATAATTTACTATGTTAAACTCTGGGTTGAAGGCCAGTCAGAATTTCTTTGACAGTATCAAGCCAAGTTCATTACCATTCTTCATGAACAGTTTCAGTTCTTGCCACCACTACTTACATCTTACTATTTTCTATTCACTAGTAGTCAAATTAATCTACTCTCTAGAAAAGAGATCATGCAATCAAATAGGACTGGACAGAGAATGCTGGCTTCTACTTGCAAGGTTTTCTAGCAGACAAATATTTCCTAATGCCTTCATTATATACAATTTCTCTCTTTTTTAGTAATGTTATTTGAGTTGGGTTTATAAGCATTACACAAATGAGCGCAGTTCTCAGTAGTTTGGTACTTTAACTATTGGCTTTACCCACATGATTCATAACAAGTCTGTTGTCATATCTTGATATGTGTTCTTTTCCATGTCCTGTTCACAGGGTTTACATTGTTAACACTGTTGGGCCATTCTTCCAGCCTTCACAATAGACTTCAACACTTCCCCTTTTCTATTCCTGAAGAAAAGTCACCCTTACATGCAATAGTTTCCTTCCAAATAGACACTTGGTTATCATAGATATGTCATATATAGAATAAGTCAGAGATATCTCACATGAAATAAGATAGAGAATGTGTCATTTGACACAAGGAAAGATCTTTCTGGCCCCTTCAGCCATCCTTATATTTTAACTCACGTTCAAATGATCTGGATGCCAGGATCACAAGCTCATCTTGATATCTCAGTTCTACTGAATGCCTTCATTCTAATAAATGCCCTCTTCCTAGGATAAAATCAATTTAACTGTATAACCTACATTTTCTGCCACCTAAGTTCAAATTTTGACAAATATGTCAAAATGTCAAAAATAATTCAACATAAGGAGTTGAAAATATGTTCACTGTAACTATTGATTTGTTAATGTTGAAATATATTTTTTCCTCAAGTTTAAATAATTCTCTACTCTAGAATGTTTATCATATTTTGCTGCTTTGCTCACATGATAAAAACTGTGTAGCACATATGTTTTCTTCACATATATGCTTCTATAGTAACTAGTTTTATATTTATAATTATATATACATATAGTGCATACACATTTATATGTAAATATAAGTATATGCATGCACACAAATATGCATATAAAATATATGTATATAAAATATGTGTGTAAATATGTGTGTGTATAAATATACATGCATATATATTTATATATATATTGCTAATTTCAACTTATGAGTTGGTAAGAACCATGTATGTGTAGTAAACATTCACTAATCTACAAACAATCCCTAACAAAGGCCTTGCATCAGATGTACAAAAAACTTTCCTATTTAGTTGAGTTTCAAAGAGAGACTTACTTAGCACTTACCGTCTACACTTGGACCTTATGCTATGAAGAACTAATTAAGGCCAAATGACTAACAACTGACAGTAAAATGTCGTAGGGAGTATCTTCCAACTTCAGCAACTAGTGAAATATTCAGAAGAGAAAGGGAGATATTTCAGTGATTTATTCCCTAGGGAATTGATGGCATTTTGGCAGTTCATGTAATTTCTTTTTTTTTTCCATTTTTTTTTATTGAGAAAAGGAGAAAAAAAAAACAAGTTTCCACCTCCTCCCAGCCTACCATTTCCCTCCCCCTCCTCCCACCCTTCTCCCTCTCCTCCCACCCTTCTCCCCCTCCCCCCACTCCTCTCCCCATCCCTCTCCAGTCCAAAGAGCAGTCCGGGTTCCCTTCCCTGTGGTAAGTCCTAGGTCCTCCTCTCTCCATCCATTTCTAGGAAGGTGAACATCCAAACTGGCTAGGCTCCCACAAAGCCAGCACATTATGTAGGTTCAAAACCCCGTGCCATTGTCCTTTGCTTCTCATCAGCCCTCATTGTTCGCCATGCTCAGAGAGTCCAGTTTTATCCCATGCTTTTTCAGTCACAGTCCAGCTGGCCTTGGTGAGCTCCCAATAGATCAGCTCCACTGTCTCCGTGGGTGGGTGCATCCCTGGTGGTCCCGACTTCTTTGCTCATGTTCTCCCTCCTTCTGCTCCTCATTGGGACCTTGGGAGCTCAGTCCAGTTCATGTAATTTCTACCAGATTGAAATCCGAATCTGTGGGAAACCAACAAGCCTTTATGTCTAAACTCCATAGACACCAGAACATGTGTTTAATATATGCATCTAATGGCTAGCTGAGTCTTTAGTAAACTGAAGATTATAAAAATTGGTGAAATTAATACAATTAAAAGTCTTTATTGAATGCATAAAGAGTTATGAATGAAGAGTTATGAATACATGTAGAAATTAACAATTAGATAAACCATGGTTCTTGTTTGTTTATTTTCTTATTCTTCTGCTAGTATTAAATATTGAACCCAGAGCCTCAGGCATGCCAAGCAAGTGCTCAACCGCTGAATTATATCTCCTTTGATAAATAATAAAGGGTATAACATATGTTTGTTTCATAAATAAAAATTATTACCATATAATGAATAGCAGGAGCTTGAATTGTAGATTTTTTTAGAACGAACAAAGTTTCTAAACTAATTCTCTAAAATTTGAATTTAAAAATTATTGTTGTCATCTTGAACAATTAACTTTGACTGCATCACTTGCCCTCAAGTTTGTGAGCCTATGTCAGCTCCACATCAGTGTCTGCCAAAGAAAGGCAAACAGACATTTGCTCTATGACCTGTTTTCATTGGTGGTTCTCTTTTATATTATGGATAAAATATGTGTCCAGAAAGATGATTTAATACATGATTATGCTCGCAATGGTTATTTTAGAATAAGCAATTGGCCCAGTGGTGGTGGCACACACCTTTAATCCTAGCACTTGGGAGGCAGAGTCAGGCGGATCTCTGAGTTCGAGGCCAGCCTGGTCTACAAGAGCTAGTTCCAGGACAGACTCAAAAGCTACAGAGAAACCCTGTCTAGAAAACAAAACAAAACAGAATAGACAACTGAGGAAAATCAGTGTAACTAGCTCCTATTTTCTTAGAATTTGGGTCTCTGAAGGAGAAATCCCTATCGATTCATTATTCATGAAGAAATCATATCAGAAAAAGTTGTCTCTGGGCCAGGAGCAGGGGGATTTTTGATGAGGGAACAGGAAGAGGTACTGAACGTCCATCTATGCACTTGATTGAAAGACAGGAAGTAGCAGAGTGACCTTTCCTCCTAATCTGGATCCCAGCAGTTCCTTGGTCCCTGGCAATTCATTAAAGAGGCACAAAGGCCTCTTGTCTTGGTCCATAAGAACATAGTAGCAAATACGACAATGGATACTCAAGTGAAGTTTTCACAAGAATTTCTCATTAATTTTGGATTTTGTCCGCATATAACTGATTGCCTGGTTTCACTTTTCTAGAGTTCATCTAGATGAAGAGATGGAATCAGTGCCTGGTTTTAAGGGGAAAAGTGCTCCTGAAGCCCCAGCTGTGGTTCCTGACACCCATTTCAGACAGCTCGCCACCTGGAGCTCCAAGACCAAGAATACCGGTACCTTTGCAGACACCCACACTTTTGCAGCATACTTATAGACAGACAATGAAGCAAAATAACATATAATAAGTGGAATAAGCTTTCTTTCTAGTTTCCGTGGAATGGCAGGCCTGACTCCCACAATAACTACCCATCATTGGGAATGAACGCCGAAACAAAACACACTGGTGTTTCATTTCTCTATGTAAGTTGCCATAGTGGATTTAAAAGCTTATCTAATTCTTCTAGGAAGATTTGATGTTTCCCGGTTGTCCTTCATTGTTCTTACTGAAATTAAGAAAGCAGGCTTCCTTACCCACTCTGAGGAGTTGATGTGGTGGTAGGGTAGGTGGAAAGGTGGGGCGGGAGGAGGGGAGCAAGGAGGAACTGTGATAGCTATGTAAAATGAGAAAAGATTGTATTATAAAATTCTTAATAAAAAAAGAAAGGAGGCTTCATGACATGCCTACTATCTGTGAGGAAGCTATAGGGAAAAGCTATCTAATTTCCTGAGGAACGATTGGAAGGCTTAAGTGTGTATGTGTGTATATGTTTGTATGTGTACGTGATTATCTTGTCTTGTCATTTTTTTAAACTGCAATAACCTTTTCTTCTTATCTAGAGTTGTAAGATGGAACTGAATGAAGGTGGAGAAGAGAAGCACAAAAGCAAGAAGCCTACAATAGAAACAGTACTGGAAAAGAGGAACAGCATCCAGTGATCATGGAGTTAGCTGTGTACAGCATGATTCCAGCAGGCCCTTTTCCTGTAAGCAGTTCTGGCAGAACGGAGCACATGTGCTGATCTGCGCACCTCCCTCATATGTATACTGTGTGTACCAGGAGACAGTGAGAGAAGGAGAACACAAGATGGTTTTGTGCTTCCAGCATGGAAACCATTAACTTGGTTTTTCTTTGTAAGACTAAGGAAGTTATTTAAACTCATGGACTTTAATGGTCTCCGCACTTAAGAACTGGCCACCTTACAAGATAATTTTGTTAAGTGAAGTATTAACATAATGTAGTAATCTCATCTTAAACATAACTTTCTTGTTATATTTAATAATATTGAATCCACTCATTAATTAGTATGTGATCAGCACTTATATTTTCAAAATGCTTTTATTCACCAACTCTTTATTTCAAAACATCAAAAAAACCAAGGAGGTAAAAACATGAGATATCTCTGTTGAAGTTTATAATGTACAAAGACTTAATGTATTTTGCTTGTATGAATAAAACCTATGAAAATTATATGTACAAAATTACCCAAATGATGTACATATGAGTAAAAATGTGTCTTAAATTTGTGTCTCATTTGCTAAATTTCCTTTAAAATGAATTTAGTGATTGATAAAAATATTCGGAGGGAAAAGAAACGCCTCAACATATAATTAAAGAGTTATTATTACATGAGACCATTTTTTATTTAGGGGTTAATATAAATTTGAGGGGGGAGGGGAAGGAGAAAGAGAGAAGAGAATTTATGAATATATGAGATTATTACTCTTCTATGTAGAGAGTAGAGTCCTTGAAACAATCGCTTTCTCCTGCTAATTACCCCTCTAAGTTTAATAAGGAAAACTTCTGATTTTAGTCACCAAATGTAGATCCATCAAATACGAGTAGAATATGGGCTAAATATCAGTCTAAACAATGATGTGTCATAAGCAATCTGAATAGAGATTGTCGTTATTATTTAGTGATGTTAGGTCTTCTTAATGAGCATAAAAACAAGGCCTGAGGATAGTTATATGTTTTTCTTTGGGTTCACCTTCTTATTTAGCTTCTTTAGGATATCAAATTATAGACTCACTGACCTTTATTTATAGCTAGGAACCCAATTATGAGTGAGTACATCCCATGTTCATCTTTTTGGGTCTGGGTTACCTCACTCAGGATGGTGTTTTCTATTTCCATCCATTTGCATGCAAAATTCAAGAAGTCATTGTTTTTTACCGCTGAGTAGTACTCTAATGTGTATATATTCCACACTTTCTTCATCCATTCTTCCATTGAAGGACATCTAGGTTGTTTACAGGTTCTGGCTATTACAAATAATACTGCTATGAACATAGTTGAACAAATACCCTTGTCATATGATCGGGCATCTCTTGGGTATATTCCTAAGAGTGGCATTGCTGGGTCCAGGGGTAGGTTGATCTCGAATTTCCTGAGAAACCGCTACACTGCTTTCCAAAGTGGTTGCACAAACTTGTGCATTCCCACCAGCAATGGATGAGTGTACCCCTTCCTCCCAAAGAAAAACATAGCTATCCTCCTGGTTATGGGAAGTAGACAAGATTGCCAGGCAAAAAATTGGGATCTTGGGGGGTGGGGTGGGAGAGGGGTAAGGGGAGATGGGGAGAGAAAAGTGAGAAGGGTAGGATGGGGAGAACTTGGGGCAACGGGATGATTGGGATAAAGGAAGGTTGGATAGGGGAGCACGGAAGCACAATTCTTAGTTAAGGGAGCCACCTTAGGGTTGGCAAGAGACTTGGACCTAGAGGGGCTCCCAGGTGCCCAGGGCGATGTCCCCAGTTAGCTCCTGGGGCAGCTGAGGATAGGGAACCTGAAATGACCCTATCCTATAGCCATACTGATGAATATCTTGCATATCACCATAGAACCTTCATCTGGCGATGGATGGAGATAGAGACAGAGACCCACACTGGAGCACCGGACTGAGCTCCCAACGTCCCAATGAGGAGCAGAAGGAGGGAGACCATGAGCAAAGAAGCCAGGACCACAAGGGGTGCACACACCCACGGAGACAGTGTGGCTGATCTATTGGGACCTCACCAAGGCCAGCTGGACTGTGACTGAAAAAGCATGGGATAAAACCGTACTCTCTGAATATGGCAGACAATGAGGGCTGCTGAGAAGCCAAGGACAATGGCACTGGGTTTTGATCCTACTTCATGTTCTGGCTTTGTGGGAGCCTAGCCAGTTTGGATGTTCACCTTCCTAGACCAGGATGGAGGGGGGAGGACTTTGGACTTTCCACAGGGCAGGGAACCCTGACTGCTCTTCAGACTGGAGAGGGAGGGGGAGAGGAGTGGGGGGAGGGAGAGAGGAGTTGGAGGAGGGGGAGGGAAATGGGAGGCTGGGAGGAGGCAGAAATTTTTTCTTTTCAAAAAAAAATAAAAATAAATAAAAAAATTTTTTAAAAAATGAAAAATACACAGAGAAGCTGGAAAAAAAACCAAGAAACAAAAAAACAAGGCCTGAAATTCCTCAACGCTGTTTCCAGTAGAGCTGCGTTGGGTTGCAGTTTGCACCTGGAACAGGGGAAAGCTTAGCAAGAGTAGTTGGTTATGTATGATTAGGTTCAGCACTCCTCTAATTGCATCATCAAATATTGTTCAAAATTACTTCTAAAATTCAAATTCTAGGTTTTGATAGTAGCCTTGTAATCTGTATTTCCATATCTCTTTCCCAGAAAAATGTTTTCCTTCTGAATTCTATTTTAGTTAAAATACCAACTACCAGTTCTTTGTCATGAGCTACTGCATCCCTAAATTGACTTGTGAGTCCTGCAAATAGTCCGAAATAAGGGTTTGGCCTTTGGTTCAATCTCAGAATCTGTTACCTTCTGCCTGGTAGAAATCATTTGGGAGTCAACCTGATTCTTTGCCGTAAAGGCGGCCATCTGGAACCTGGTTATCACTGGGGAAATGGAGGAGGATGTCACTCCCAATGCACAATGGGAACAGAGTGTTTATTTCCTCTCATGCTGATTAAATTTTAAAGGGAAAGGTTAAACGGCAGACACCACAAACACAACATTCGGCCCACAAGCGACTACACGTTCTGCGGACTTGACAGTGCTGTGCGAAACAGCAGTTTCCAGGACCTCCACCAGCAGGAACTGAAACGATCTAAAATTAGATGGCAAAGGGGAAAGTCTCTGGGGGATGTTCAGAAATGTTCTTTTGTTTGTTTTCTTTTATGTCATTAAGTATATGTTGTAAATCATAGGTCAGAGCTTCTGGGATGCTTCCAAAAGCCAACTCCCCTCATTACAGAATAGGAATTTCGGGAGAATAATAGGGAGCTGAAAGGAATACAAGGCAGAGAGGAGCACTAACAGTCGTAAACTAGTATTAATTGATCAGGAAACAGCCAGCTGAAGGGAAATCAAGCTCTCTGGTAATGATAGGGTCGCAACAGTGACAAACACGACAGTGGAGAAGTCACTGGACACATTCAGAGCAAACATTGATTTGAGGGTCAAAGCATTAAAATAGGAAGGAAAAATGAAGAGAGGAAGGGTAGGGTTCCTCTCCATTTAGTTTGATGCTGATTGTCAGTTTGCTGTATATTGCTTTTATTAAGTTCCTTGTATCCCTGATCTCTCCAAGACCTTTATCGTGAAAGTGTGTTGGATTTTGTCGAAGGCTTTTTCAGGATCTACTGAGATGATTTTCTTCTTTAAGTTTGCTCTTCTGGTGAATTACATTGACAGATTTTCATGTGTAGAAACAACCCTGTATGTCTGGGTTAAAGCCTACTTTATCATGGTGGATAAATTTTTGATGTGTTCTTGGATTTGGTTTGTTAATATTTTATTGAATATTTTGCATCAATGTGTATGAGGGAGATTGGTCTGTAATTCTATTTCTGAGTTGAACCTTTGTGATTTTGGTATTATGGTAACATTAGCTTCATAAAAAGGTTTGTCAAGGTTCCTTTTGTTTCTATTTTATAAAAACAATTTAAGGAGTATTGGCATCAGTTCTTTGAAGTTCTGGTAGAATTCTGCACTGAAACCATTTGGCGCTGGGCTTTTTTTTTTTTGGTGGGAAGACTTTTGATGACTGCTTATATTTCCTTAGGGATTATTGGTCTCTTAATTGTTTGTCTGGTCTTGATTTAATTTTGGTATATGGTATTTACCCAGAAAAATTGTCTATTTCTTCTACATTTTCCAATTCTGTGGAGTACAGGTTTTTGAAGGATGACCTAATGATTCTCTGGATTCCCTTGGTGTCTGTTGTTATGTTGTTATGTCCCCCTTTTCATTTCTGATTGTGTTCATTTGGATATTCTTTTTCTACCTTTTGGTTAATTTGGATAAGAGTTTGTCTATCTTGTTGATTTTCTTGAAGAACCAGCTCTTTGTTTCACTGATTCTTTTTATTGTTTCCTTTGTTTCAATTTTATTGATTTCAGCCCTCAATTTAATTATTTCATGTCATCTACTCTTCTTGGATGAGTTTGTTTCTTTTTGCTCTAGAACTTTCAGGTGTGCTATTAAGTCAATAGTGTGAGATTTCTCCACTTTCTTTATGTAGGCACTTATTGCTATGAACTTTCCTCTTAGTAGTGCTTTCATAGTGTCCCATAGATTTGGGTATGTTGTGCCCTCCTTTTAATGGAGTTCTAGGAAGTCTTTAATTTCTTTCTATTTCTTCTTTGACCCAGGGGTGATTCAGCTGAGCATCATTGAATTTCCATGAGTTTGAAGGCTTTCTGCAATTAGGTTTGTTGTTGAATTCTAATTTTAAGCCATAGTGATCCAATAGGACACAGGGCCTTATTCCAATTTTTTGTATCTATTGCAGTTTGCAATTTTAAAGATGGCATCATGCAGTGCAGAAGTGTTTGGATAAAATGTTTTATAAAGGTTGGTTAAGTCCATTTGAGTCATAACATGGATTACTACTCAGTGGTAAAAAAAACAAAACAAAACAAAAACAATGGCATCTTGAAATTTGTAGGCAAATGGATGGAACTAGAAGAGAACATCCTGAGTGAGGTAACCCAGACCCAGATAGACAAACACAGTACGCACTCACTCATAAGTGGATAATAAAGCAAAGGATAACCAGCCTATAGTCCAAAGCCCCAGAGAAGCTAGAGAACAATGATAATCCTCAGATAGACATACTGGGTATGGGAAAATAGACAAGATACCTTGAGTAAATTGGGAATATGGGGGTGGGTAGGGAGGGGAGAAGGAGGACATGGGGGAACTGGATGGTGGAGATTGGGGAAGGACAGAGAGGGAGAGCAAGGAAAGAGAGAGCTATTATGGGATTAGGGAGAAACCTAGCAATAGGAACATTTTCCAGGAATCCACGGGCATGACTCCAGCTAAGACCCTATACAATAGTGGAGAGGGAACCTGAATGGGCCTTCCCCTGTAATCAGATTGATAACTACCTTAATTGTCACCATAGAATCATCCAGGAAATGGTGGAAGTAGATGCAAGGATCTACAGAAAAGCCCTGGGCCAAGTTCACAGAGTCTAGTCACAGAGAGGGAGAAGCGATGTTATGAGCAAAGGGGTCAAGACTATGATGGAGAAACCCACAAAAACAGCTGACTTGAGTTAGTGGGGGCTCACTGACTCTAGACTGACATCTGGGGATCCTGCATACAACCAAACTAGACCCTCTGAATGTAGATGACAATTGGGTGGCTTGGGCAGTCCATAGGGCCACTTGTAGTGGAACCGAGATTTATCTCTTGTGTGTGAACTGGCTTTTTGGAGTCCCTTCCCAATGGAGGGATACTTTGCTCATCCAATGGAGGGATACTTTGCTCATCCTAGATACAGGGAGGAGGGCCTTGGACCTGGCTCAGTGTGATGTGACAGATTTTGTAGACTCCCCATGGGAAACCTTATCCTTTCTGAGTAGTGGATGAGGGGTGTGGTGGGAGAAAGTAGGAGAGTAGGAGAAAGGAGGGGAGGGAGTGAGAACTCGGATTGATATGTAAAATAAAAAAAATGTTTTAAAGTAAATAAATAATTATGAAAAAGGAAGGGAGAGAGGAGGAGGGTGAGAGACAGAAAGGAGACTGACATTAAGAGTCTCATCCAGTCCCTCTCTATGTATAGAATCCCTATACCCTATACACCAAACGAATGCAAACTAAGCTGCCACCACATCAAGAAGCTGTTCCTAAAGCTGTTATCCAGCTGAAGGAAATCACCCTGTGCTGTACCTCCTCATGGGATACACACTTATGCCTCAGCTGAAGGACAGCTAAACGGGCACGTGTCATTCACTTCCATAAACAAGAAAGAACATCTAGTACTTTTCACAAGTGTATTAGGAATACGTTATGCAATAGAGCATCCTAGAGTCTCATACATTTTGCTTCAAATGACAGGATTTTCTTGCACATGTGTAGTATAGGTCATCGCGGACAAACAGTCCACTTTCTTTACTCCTTCCTCTCTGATAACCCATGCAGATCCCAGGATTTGTCTACTGTAAAAAATTCTGCAGTCAACATGAGTGCGCAGGCATCTCTTATGCAAACACACTGATTTTATTTCTTTTAGATTGTAATCACAGAGTTTGACACTGCAGTAGTTTGCTTCTCGCTTTCTTGGGAATTCTCATACTATCTTCCATTGTGGCTCTAGAGGCTACAAATCCTAACAGTGTTTAAAAGAGCCAATTTATTGCCACAGCCTTGTCAGTATATACATATGTGTCTATCTATGTGTATATATAAATGCGTGCACGCACACACACACACACACACACATATACACACAATATATATAGTGCATTTTGCTAACAGTCATTCTAACTTAGATGACAGGATATCTCACCAAGTTTTGGTATGTATTTTCCAATGGCTGAAGTCATTGTACATTTTCCTACTTTTATTAACCACTTAAAATTCTTTGTTTTAGAAGCATTTGTTTAGATCATTTTTCAATTT